GTAGATATTTAAGAATGTATTAGTGAAAATAATTATCCTATAATATAAATAATTATAAATTAAGATTAAAATAACTAATTAGTTTAATTAAAATTAAAAAAAATTAAAAATTTAAAATGAGATTAAAGTGTGTAATCATTTTCCAAAAAAGAAAAGTGACATGGTACATGGGACGGACAGAAACGGCAACATGGACATACCCTTTTTATGTCCATAAAATTTATACTTCCTCCGTCTCACATATCATGTCTATATTGTCGTTTCTGTTCATCTTAATCTTATTTTAAATTTTTTAATTTAATTTTTTTAAATTTTAATTAAATTAATTAATTATCTTAATTTTAATTTTAATCTATAATAATTTATATTATGAGTTAATTATTTTTACTAATACAATTTTAATTTTCTACTAAATATATTTATTCTAAATTCTCGTGTCTACGGTGACCAAGATTTCCTATGTGAGACGGACGGAGTATTTATTTATTTTTATAAATAAAATAAACGGGAGGAGTATATAAAATGTTGTGTAGACAAAAATTTTAATAGTTTTGAAGTTTTTAAAAAATATTAAAATTATAAAATTTTATTATGTTTTTTTTTTCTTTCAAAAGTGTTAATAATAATGTCAAATTAAAGTGTAAATATATATATATATATATAAATAGAACTTAAATATATGTATTATTAAAATATTGAAATGGGACAAAAGAAGAAAAAAGTGTCCGTGTGTGCGTGTGGTGTGTATTATATATAATTATAATTATATAATTATAATTATATATAATGATTAGTTTCGTAATGTGCAGGCAGGCAAAGAGGGAACAATTTGAGGGCAAAGTGGATGACTTTTGAAAGTAATGTGGGAACGATGTTGACATCTTCTGTTCAAATCCGACCGTGCTTAATTCGCTCTTCTTATTATTATTATTATTATTATTTTAATCATTTGTTTCTGACTACATTAATTAATTAATTAATATACTGTACTACATATAAATTCTTGTGTAGAGACTGGGTCAAAGTTCGCACGGATTTGTTTTTGGATATTCCTCAAAAGACTTCATATTAGTAAAGTTTATTCGGGATTTATAAGGTGTGAAATTTTTTTCATAACTTCCGACGTGGACTTGGATTTGCACGCCCAACAACGTCTTGTTTGATTCAATTAATCGTATTTCAATTTCGTATATATAGCAATAAAATGACGTAATGGGGTGTGTGTGACACTGTGACTGTAACTCGCGACAACTGCTACTAAACTAACACAGACAGGACCACCGCCCATTATAATAATAAATCTATATATATATATATATATTTGTTTGTAATCATTGATTTTTACATTATATATCTGCAACTGCATGCAAATAAATAAATATGTATGAATGATTTAAATAAATAAAATCATGAACGAGTTACACATTATTAATTAGCTAATTATTGGTCCTACACTACATAACTCCAACTATATATATATTATTATTATTATTATTATTATTATCAAATAAAAGAAATGTGAAAAGAAGAGAGAAACGTGGAAATGATATGATGCATTTTTGCACGAGTGAAAGTGAAAAAGCCAATAAAAAAGGATACTAATTTGAATGACTTTTCGAAAGGTGTTGTTCTCCTCTTCATCTTTATTATTATTCATTTCGTCTATATAATTTGTCTTTATTATTATTTTTTTATTTTACATAATTTGTTATTTTATTTTTTAGAAATATAATTATACTCTCTTCCCTCGGTCTCTTAAATATATATCTGCATCTATTTTTTCTATTTTATCTGTTTATAGTAAAATATCCATTTCTTTTTTTTAACAACCCTAATACCACATGCTATTAGAATTACCCTTAAACTTATGTTATATTACATATATATCACTTCAATAAATTTTTACCTTAAGGATATTTTAGTCATTTTACCTTTATTCTTACTAAAAAACAAACGAATAGATAAATATGTGACGGGGGAGTATATTTTAAGCATGTTTTAAATCTTTTAATTTTAATTAAAATATTTAATTATTTCAATTTTAATTTATAATTATTTTTTATTATACAATAATTATTTTTACTGATATATTTCTTATTTGCTTACTAATTATACATTACCTAAATTTTCGTATTTGTCCAAATTATTTGAGACAAGAGGGAGTATTATTATTAATTCCCTTCTGATATGTCACTTATTATTATTATTATTATTTGTTGGATACAAATAAAATACTAAATTGCTTAAGAGGTCAATTCCTCTTGGTTTAAGGGACAACATATTTAGAAAACTACAAGAAATTTACACTTCTAAAAAAAACACGAAGGTTGTTCAATGATAAAAATGTTTGTATATATGCAAATGATATTTGTCTATGGTTGGTCAATACAAATACAAAATAAAATAACATACAAAATTTGATGATCAATTCGATATAACAACCTCCATCCGTCCATGAGACGACCACGTCGAATAAGCCTCTATCCAAATATTAGAGCTGTTAAACGAATCGAGCCGTTCGTGAACTCGGCTCGGTTCGATTCGACTCGGTTAAAGCTCGTTCGCGAACGTTAACAAGCCGAGCCGAACAACATAAACAGACTCGTTTGGTTAACGAACAAGCCCGAGCTTTGTTCGCGAACGTTAGTTTAAATAATATATTTATTATAAATATTATATATATATATATAAAATTATAATCTATAAATAAATAAAACATCAATTTAAAATATATAAATAAAATAATTTTTAAAATTTCTTTATAATTTATATATAAATTTTTAAAAAATAAGACAAACGAGCTCGAACGAACTTAATCGAGTCTAAACGAGCTGAACACGAACACGAGCTCAAACAACAAAAATTTTTAACGAGCCGAGCTCGAAAACTTAACGAACGAACACGAGCCTTGTTCGCGAACGTTAACGAACACTTAAAAATTGGTTCGGCTCGACTCGGATCGGATCGTTACCAGCTCTACCAAATATACAACAGATTCTACAACTCAAGCGATCAAACTACAACTAAAACACTAACAAACCTCCTGTCTAGTTGAGGGTAAGTGTGATAATTAATGTATTTATCTTCTTCTCCGATCCGATCGGAAAACTAAATCTCTCTTCATAAGTAGGGAAAACAAAATTAGAGAAAACAAAAGTTTCTCTCACCACCAACAAACTCAATTTTTTTCTATCTTATCAAGATGTCTCACAGAGTCCGTAAGTGAGAATGAACTTATGATTGTGAGATCATATGTTGAAATATTTATTAAAAAATATAATAAAAAAATGATACATGCACAATTAAACTCAAAATGAAGTGTTTGATTGGTTCAATTTTCAAATCTCTTTTTGCATATGCAAAATTTAATTGTATATGTTTATATTAAAAATTATCACAATTTTAACACCTATGATTTATTTTATTTAAAATATCATACCTAAAATCCATTCATTTTGTTCAAAATTGCGCTAATTAATACCTTTTTTTTTATTATTATTACTATTAAAAATAATATATTAATATTTTAAATTAAATAACTTACTATTTCTAAAGTAATAATTAAAAAGCATCTAAAGCAATTGAAAAAACGAACAAGGTAGCTTGAGCTGGATATCACCAAATATATCCAAAGTGCAATATATAATAGTACTCCATAATATAACATTAACATATTTAAAAATATAGCTACATGCACACGTGCACGTGCACGTGCACGTGCATGTGTAGATAATGTTTTGGTCAAGAGTGGATTAACAGTGCTAATATCATTTTAGGATGTCTTAAGATCATCGGATGTGATGCTATATTTTCTAATAAAATAATTATTAAATATGATATATTAATTTATAATATGAAAATGATTAAAAAGATAAATAGAAGTTGATGGTCTCTTGCATGAAATTTTTTTATTTTTGTGGAGTTTATTTACTCACAAATCAAATGAAATGATCGTAGACTATCATTGACATTTGTGGTATATACAACTCCAAACTTGTTTCTATCATTCCATTTTGTTTTGCTGTCTTCTTGCATGCCTATTTATTAATTAGGACCACAATTGACCTGCATACACTTAATTATTAATTATGATATACAACAAAAACATTGTCTGTCAACTTATGTTTTTTGCTCTGATTAATCTTGAATAAAGCATATAATAATCAGTCAATTAATTAATTAATTAATTAGTAGTGTGTGGGGAGCCACCTTCACGAGCACTCGTGGGGGCTGCCTATTATCATTTTTCATAATATATATATATATTCATTCAAGTATGACTTTGCATCATATATATATATATATATTAAATCAAATAATCAATCATCCTGTCCCTATATTATGTATTTTAATGTTTCTTTTCAAGAGTCTAATGTTAAGATCTAATTTATAACCCAGAAAATCGAGTTATAAAAGTTAAAGAGAATCTATCACTAAAATAAGACTTATAATATATATATATATATATAATACACACGGCGGTTGTTTTAGTGCTAATAGGGCATTAGGAAGTATGGTATTGTACGTGCTAATATTAGCATAATAATTAACTAGTCTGTTCACCATGCGGTTTATACTATCAATTGCAATAATATTAGATAAATAATTTATTATATTATCAAATATATGATAGAAAGATACAAATACAAATATTGTTCAGACCAATCAACAATTGATAAAAAATCTACTATGTGACTATTTTTCTGTCGTACCTGTGAAGGGTGGAGCTAGTACTATAATGTTATACAATTTTCCTGTCATATATGTGAATCACTTTTATTAGGAAGGTTTGTTTTTCTATCTACCCAACTATATATATATATATATTATCCACCAGGCCCATTCCAAACATGAGTGAAGCCCAACAAACACGCCCGTGTTGCTTATTTATCCATTCCATTCCAATCCATTTGCCATTATCATTATCATTATCATTATCATTATCAAGAGAAACTCAGAAGGATCATCAAATTCATGTCCACCATTCTTCTTCACCAAAAATGCTACTTTCCCAACCCAACCCATCTCATTCAAAACAGTATCCTGCTGCTGCTACTGCAGGCCATCATCATCTTCATCTTCGTCTTCATGTTCCCTCCAGAAAATTATATGCATCCAGCAGCAGCAGCAGCAATCAGAATAATCCCAGCAGCAGCAGCAGGATCAGGCGCCTGGTGCTCACCCAAGAAGGCAGAGCAAAGTTCAACAACTACCCAGACAGGGACTTCTACGCCTCCCCACGATTCGTGGCCCATGTCGACAACACTTTCATCTCCACACTCACCAATCTTTACCGGCAGATACTGCGACCAGAAATGGAGGTTCTTGATCTCATGAGCTCCTGGATCAGCCACCTCCCTCCAGAGGTTAAGTACAAGAAAGTAGTCGGACATGGACTTAATGCCCAGGAGCTCGGGCGTAATCCCCGCCTCGATCACTTTTTCGTCAAGGATCTTAATAAGGACCAACAATTTGAACTCAAGGATGACAGTTTCGACGCTGTTTTATGTACTGTCAGTGTGCAGTATCTTCAGTACCCTGAAAAGGTTAAATTCACAAATCACTCTCACAATGCTTCATGCAATGCATATATATTGATGGGTATATATATACATGTATATATATATACAAGGATTGGTTACCATGCTGATTTTCCTAATGCGTGTAAAAAACTAGCAAACAATATATAATTTCAAATAACACATAGTATACTGTACGGACTATATCATGTGCTGAAATCAATGGTACTATGTACTGTGTAAACTATTGTCATGTGTTATTAGTTTATGTATTGCATTTGGATTATATTAACAAAACTTGTATGTTGCCTATCATCATATCATGTGTTGTCTCCAATTGAGCATTGTACTCAAATCAAAATAACGGCATGGATATATATTTTTATATAATTATATATATAGTCGAAGGAACTGACCTGGTGTGTTGGACAGGTGTTTGCTGAGGTTTTCCGGGTGCTCAGGCCTGGAGGAGTCTTCATTGTCAGCTTCAGCAACAGGATGTTCTATGAGAAGGCAATTGCCGCCTGGAGAGACAGGACTGGTTATGGCCGGGTGCAGCTGGTCGTTGAGTACTTCCAGTGTGTGGAGGGTTTCAGTCAGCCACAGGTTATTCGAAAACCACAAAACACTACAGAGAAAAATCAGGCACCGGGTTGGATAACAGGGCTGCTCGGGTTGTTCTCGGGCTCAGATCCATTTTATGCAGTGGTAGCTTACAAGAACTTCAAACCTATATATGAATAGAAGCTCGATTTTTGCAGCTCTTTCTGCACTGATCCGCCTCTGATTCAGGGCTTGTTTCATCACAGTTAGGAAGAATATCGATAATTATAACTTATTGTCTACAATGAAAGCTTCAAAATAAGCACACTATTGGTCTCTTTCCTAAAAACCATGTATTAATTTGGCTAGCTGATATAAGAAGAATACTATCTATTGTGTGGAAGCTAATGTATAGTTTAGGGAAAATAAAAATGAAAAACAAAAACTCGTAAAAAAGGCAAACGATACATCTAATTCTTTAAGTGTTGTTCGGATCCTTTTATGAGGGAAAATTTTGGAGTACGCTCACTGTATTCGACTATAGCAGTTGGTGGAAGACGGCCAATGCAGATCTCATGGACAGTTGAGAAGAGGGGGAATGACTCTGACCATCCTCGATGCCTCAACACCTCATTGACTTCCTTTGCAGTCGATACCCCCTGGAAATATTTTCGGATCAGGTGGACAAATCGATCAACCCGGTTTGTAGAGTGTAGTTTGAAGCACCCCATGAAGGTGAAGTTTCATGCAAAAAACATAATCCATGTACCTGTAATTTCTGGCCTTGCAGCATCTCTGCTTCGAGTGTATCGAATGATTTCTTCCCCCCATGTCTTGCAAAAGCCTCGGCACATTTCCTGTTTCTTCCACCCACTGCTTATAAAAAAATGAAACAGATTGCAGACTGTGTTATCTATGAAGATTGAAAACTAAAACTTCTGCCAAATGATGAATGCATAATAAGTTTGGCCTACTCACAGCAGGTTGTGATTACATCTGCCACACCACAACTTTCGAAGAAAGTATTGTCTTGAACTGAAGGGAAAAGAAGCTTCGAAAAGGCTTTCATTTCTCTCAGGCCAACTCTCATTATTGCTGCCTAGCAAACCATTCAAGCAGAACAAAGGTTACCGGTGAGTATGATTTATGCTACGGTAACTCCTTAGAATCTTTTGTGGCTTTTACCTTAGTGTTGTTTCCCATTTCCAGACCATCAACGAACCCTGTTTATATAAACTCACCATCAGCTGTGACAGGATCCAATCATTCAAAACTAACTAAGCGAATATAAAGTAAGATAGTAGTTTGTACCCGCAGCAATAGCCACTACATTCTTCAGCGTCCCACAGAGTTCCACTCCTTCCACATCTTTCACCTATTCACATTTGTCGATATACTACATTACATAACCAGAATCCAAGGGCATCCAAGAACAAGTAGATAGCCATCATTAGTTTATTTAAGCAACACAAGAGGATCGATTTGCTCACAGCTGAGACCATAAAGTATGGAGTGTTGAATAGCTGCACCCATATCTCGGCTACCTCTTTGCTCTTTCGGTAACCAATTGTTGCCTCACTGAACTTCTCTGCAGCTATCTGTACAAACAACTTCTTGTCACACACTTGCACATCTAAGTGTAACATTTTTGCTCACGATGGCCTCAAAACTACCTCATTGGCAATGTTTGCGCCCATCAGAACACAACAATTAATCCTGAGGCTATCGGAGATGTGGGTGGAGATCATCTGCGGACCTTCCTTCTTCACCTCCATCCCTTTGATGAGAGAGATTGCTTCAGCGTCCTTTCTTACCTTCCCTGCTAGCCTCTTACATATGTCTTCCATGAACTGATGGGGGGTGACAAACACCAACATATTTGCATCCTTCACTACTCATCATTACCATTTTGTAATTAATCAGGCAGAGATATTCAGTTCATTTTGATTAATTAGATCACTGGCTCGATATTCAAACAGGGAGTTCTAATGAAGAAACCTGCGTGCTCAAGATCAGGATCAGCAATCACATTTTTGCCAAGTTTTATGCCGGGAAGATATTTGACGTTTTCCTATGGAACAAATCGAATAACATAACTTGAACATGAATGATTCATATTTTGCAGCGAATCATTAATGGAATTAAAGGGGAATGTTGCAGAAAAACACTTCTTACATTTTGTCGGTTGATAACATTTGAAAGCTTTTCACCTGTTGGCAGCGTCTCCTCGAATACCCACATCCTGACCTCATCTACAAATTCCAGAAAAAAATCGATAACTAAATAAACGTGAGAAACGGAGATGAAACCGATCGAATCGATACTGACCGTGGAAGGAGCTAAGCCGGAGCGTGTTGGAGGCAATTAGCTTGGCGGCAACGCTGCCCCAATTTCCACTGCCGACCACCGTGACTTTGGACTTAACGGAGCACATTTCATCATCAAACCCTCCACCTCCTCCTCATCCGGCGGCGATAGATGATAGTGACAACGCCATTCTTCGTAAACTCCACAAAAACTGACTCCATCATCCGGAGGAAATATTTTAAAAAATTGATGGAGGAGCCCAATCAATGAACGGCGGAGAGAGCAAATCGGAAGCGCAATGGCGTCGGCAATTCCATTCCCTTTCTCCATTAACGAACGCCATGCAGAGCTCTAAGCTGTCCGCTGTGCTTTTGGGCTTTATACCCAATTGAGCCAAAACTTCTAACTTAGATCCATTTAAAGTCAATAATGGGCCCAATTAAATTAGGCCCATTAAAATAGATAATAAAATACTACAATATCTAATTTGTGATTTACCTTTAAACTCGGTCAAAGGCATTATGGCAACCTCATATTTTATGAATCAGTTATTTCTAACTTCCATATTTTCCGGCGAACTCCGGCTATAAATACCCATCGCCGGCGGACGTTGTCATCATTCTCGAGCTCTGGAGTATTTCTCTTAACCACTGTCGGAGAAGTGCTGCAAAGCCCTCAATAATAAATAAATAAATAAGAAAATCCCTACAGCCACCGATCATCGGACTCCGCCGGAATTTACAAATGGCACGCCAGGTGCTCGCCGTCGCCCTCATATTCTTCATCGCCGCCGTCGCGGTGGTTTCAGCCCAAGCTCCCGCCGGTTCTCCGTCGGCCTCTCCGGCCAGCGCCCCGGCCGCAGCCCCCACGGCTGGAGCTGCCGCTGCCGCTGCCTCGCCGGTTTCGGCCCCCGCTGCCTCTCCGACGACTGAGGATGCGATCGACGCAGCCGCAGCCGCCCCCGCCCCCGGCCCCGCCGGCGAGGGCCCGACGGCAGCTCCAGCTGATGCTCACGGAGCCGAAGCTGATCATGCCGGTGCGGCTGCGTTGAGAAGCTCCGCCGCCGTGGGTGCCGCCGCAGTGGCCGGGTACTTGTTCTTCTAGATGGTGGAGATGAGGGTTTGGAGTGGGAATAGAGTTTTCTTTATATCATTTATTTATTTGTACGTAATTGTGTTATAGAAATTACGTATTATATTTGAAATAATAATTAATAAGAAAAAGAATAAAGAAAATTTGCCAATCATTTTATTTTATATACAGTATTAGAGTATTATTATCCCGACAGCTCTTCGTTGCCACAACGATATATCAGGCATTCAATATAGATTTGATTAGATTTTATAGAACTCTTTAAATTTTAGTATATTTTAAATTTTAAAAAGTTTTTAAAAATTTTGGTGTATTATTTTTAAAAGCCTTTCAAAAAATCTAATTGTATTTCATTCAAATTTTAAAAAATCTTTTAAAATTTTAGTGTATTCAACAATCCATTTGATTTTAAAAATTTATGAATTTTGTTGGATTTTTTAATAAAGTTAACAAATTACACTCTATAATCTCTTGTTATAGATGAGATTTCAATGGATTTTTTAAATTAGTAAAAAAAAATACATACTATTATTTTATTTATAGCATTAATAACTATTTATAAGAAAATTTATATGTTTAATATAAAAATTATAAATATCTTAAAGTTTTATATATTTGAAATAATATTAAAAATTATATATATATATAAAATAACAAATAAATTTGCTCAAATTATTCGAATTAAAATTATCAGTTTTAATGATTGGAAATGTCAAATCAAAATTAATTATATTTGACAATGTTAGTTTATGTTTATTTCTTTTTAATTATTTTATTTTTAATTTTAAAGTAATAAAAATTGTAATTTTAATGTGATTTTATTTATAAATATATATTTTTTGTATAAAAATTCATATAAATAATAATAATAACAATTAAATAAATTGTTACAAAATAAAAATTAATTACTTTGAATTATATATAATATAATAAATTCGATCAAAATAATACTATAACAAAAAATATAAATTTAAAAATATTATTATTATTAAAATAAAATAAAAATGAGAATAATAATAAATATATTTTTTAGAACTAATGTACTTTTAATATTTTTGTTAAATATTTGAAATTTTGTATATATATATATGCAAGTGTACTGTATATATTTGAAATTATATAAATTAACAAAAAAAAAATTTTAATTCACAAATTTATACACTGTAATGAAGTATATGAAAATCAATAAATAATACAATCAAATCTATCAAAATCCATATAGATTATTAAACAAAATCTATTAAACTTTGAATAAATTCTATAAAATTTATAAATCCACTCAAGTTTACGGACTTTTCAAAATCCAAGCAAATTCATTAAAATTCTAATTAAATACACTCTCTTACAAAAATATTCAATAAAAAGCAGGACAAAATTAACCATAAATTGTCTAAATTAGCTTGACTACCCTTTTTCATTCTAAAAAACGTGTGTTTGTTTGGGGATTTGGATTTTGGATTGGAATTTGAATAGTAAAAATTTTGAATTTGAATAGTTGTATGATGTGATATAAATAGGTGTTGATGTGATGTTTTGAATATAAAATTAATTTTTAGTATAATATAAAAAATGAAAAATAGGTGTTTGATTTGATGTTTTTGGAGAAAAAAATTAGATGAATAGTTGAATTTAAATCCAATCCTCCAAACAAACACACCAGTAAAAATATTTCAATATATCTTAAAAATATCCCTACGTCTCTTTTGAAAAACTTATATAAATAAAATAATAATATTTTAATATTAAAATGAGAGATATAAAGTAAAGTAGAAGTATTATAAAAAAAAATTATTAAATAATTGATAAAAAGACGATGCCGCTATCAGAAATTTAAAAATGGATTTTAGAAAAAAGTCTCGAAATCAATTTCGATACTATTAAAAAAATAATATAGATAATACTTCTTTTGTCCCATATATTTTGTCCACATTAATATAGATACGGGAATTTAGGTAAATTATAAGTACGAAGTATATTGGTAAAAATAATGATAGATTAAAATTAAGATAACTAAATAACTTAATTAAGATTTTAAAAATTATGAATTGTGAAATTTAAAATGTAGTAAAAGTTTATAATTATATTTTTTTTTAAAAAAAGAAAAATTATATGGACGAACAGAAATGTAAAAAAAAATAAAAATATAGAAGTATTTTATGTTGGATGGGAGAAGGATTAAATAATTTTTATTCTAAGTGTTTTGAAAATTTTGAGACCACTTTTTCTATAATATTATTTAGAGCAAAAATCAAAAGCAGTTCATATGAAATCCTTCTTTTTTTTTTCTTTTTTTTAGTTCCATTCAATTCTTTTTTTTATAATCAAAATTAGTTTTATTCAAAAATTAATTTATTATTTTTTGTCTCACCATTAAAATTTTAACGAAATACGCTGACGTGGTGGTAATAAAAGATACAATTTGAATCCAACACGGCCGTGTTCAAATATGAGTTCAAATAATGTATTCAAGCGCGGCCTTGTTTATGTCAAGTACGGTCATGTTTCAATTTTAACCAAAAAATTATTGCGGCAAACGAAAAAGGAACCATGATAGATTCTACACAAAATTCCTAGCAGGCCTGCTTCATATTCTATGTTGTCTTCATCCATTTGAGGCGGAGGCGGCGCTGCACCTGCAGGTATGGGGGCCGACACAAATCTTTTGCCTGGATGGCTACAGGAGTCTGCCACCGCAACGAGCTCCAATGCCAGAGGAGAAGGAGCTGAGTCCGAGCTCTTCCCTGTCCCCGCCGCCGATCAGAGCCCCGTTGGAGAAATTCGCAATGGAGGATTGGGATAAATACTGTCGGAATCGCTTGCCAACTCACCCACCCAGAACCAGTCAATTCTTCAGTGAATGATGGCCGATAATGCTGAAGACCCAGACCCCTCCCTCGTCAACAAAATCGGAACCTTTTCCCCGCCGGAGCTCGACCTTGGCGGCACCAATCAATTGGCGTATGACACCTACCCTTGAGGCCTCATATCCACCCTAAACCCCCACCTCCACCCTTATGAATGAGCACAACACTGTTACCTCCCAAAAAGAGAAGATTCCAAAAGCTATTGATATTATTGACAATGGATGATTGTTCGCGTGATTTGTCAATTAGTTAGGATGTTAGCTCAGTTAGTTAGAATATTAACAAATATGTTAGCAAGCAGTTTCCATTCCGTATTTAAATCATTCTCCTATAAAATATACTATTTATTTTTGTTTCTTATAGAATTCAATTTTTTTTTTTATCTGCATAATTCTCTTCCTATAAATTTCTCTATTTTATTGTTCCTTTGATTACTTTCATCATGGTATCAAAGTAGTGACGCTTCTCTCTTCATAGAGAATAATGATTTATCAAAAACACCTAACAACACCTAAACCAGAATACCAAATGAAGTCACAGAGACACTTGCTCAGCTTGCAGTTCAAGCACTGACTGCTCAGAAGAATGCTCCTACTCAACGTATTCTTCCCAAGGCACTCTGGCTAACAAGTGGCGATCAACCTCACCTTACTTTATCTTCCACACCTCTCACAATTACAATTACTTTACCGGGAGTCATTGTATTTGGAATGCATTAATGGCCGAAGAAAAGACAGGTTTCCTCACAGGTAAACTGGTAAAACCAAAGCCCATCTCTCCATATTATGATACTTGGATTGAGGTAGATGCTCTCATTACAATATGGATTATTAACTCCATTTTAGAAGAGTTACAAGGATTATTCGTCTTCATCCAAACTGCAAATGGTCTGTGGGCAAGTTTGAAAGAGAAATTTGGATAATCCAATGCTTTTCTCATATTCAATTCAAACGAGATCTCAAGTCTCTCAAACAAGGCAGTGATTCCCTTGCAATGTATGCAATCAAAATGCAAGAGCTATGGGAAGAATGAATGAATGTCGATCCTCATATTGAATGCATTTGTGGAAATATATGCTCATGCATACAAAGCTACTGGCCAAGATGGACAAAAATTTTTTCACCGGTCTCAATGATTCATATGATGCAGCAATAGGACAAATAGTGCTCATGGATCCTCTACCAAATATGAGCAAAGTCAACTCTCTATTAATGCAATTTGAGAAACAACGTGGAATACATGTTTCACTCGAGCACAATGTCATTGCAAATGTGAAGGATTCTACTCAAAAGCGTCTTAACAAAAGGAAATGTCAAATTGACAAGTGAAATTAGATATATGAATATTTCAAAAAGAGAGGACACAATAAAAAGACTCCTTTCCAACTTAATGGCTTTCCAGATTGGTACAAAGAAATTAGCAGCAACAAGAGAAATAATACAGTTGTTGTTGCCATTATAGAAAATAAAACCTCTGGTAAACCTTTTGACACTGATTATGAGCTTATTGAGTTAATCAAGTCTATGAAAATGGAGATGCAAAGGTAGATGAACTTCAACCTTGACTATATGACTCAATTTGCAACACCAACAAAATTTGTCAACTTTGTTCTTAATTACTCAGACATGCCTCTCAGTGTTTGTTCAGTGCATTTGGATAATAACTCTTTGTGGACAGCGAAGCTATGTGTCATGTATGCATAAACTTATCATTATTTTTCTCCATTACCCATATGAAACACAAACTAAAATAATGCTTCATGGTAGAACTTATGTTACAACTATTGATGACTCCGAATATGAGCATATTCTTCGTTTAGCAAAACTATGAATTACTTGAATTTCGGTATAAAAAATATCACAATATCTAATTTATGGAATACTTTATTGATCTATTTCACTTGGCATGATCCAGAATTGGTTTTTTAAGATTATTAACATTTTTTTTCCTTTTAAGCGGTGATTCTAGTCCAGAAAAGCTAAGGCATAAGAAGCAAGCGACAGTTGTGTCTGCTCAACAATCGAAGATTTCATCGCTTATGCCAGCGACTCAGACACCCATCGCAGCGACGCGACGACAACTCACTGCAATTAATGCCTAAGTGTCCAACCCGTAGTGGATCCGCCATTCCACTACCAGCCAACATTGATGACTTCACTCAGCTGCGCTGATTCCCTCCAGTCATCTGGGTGAGCGAGGAAGATTTGTGCCCCTACAAGTCAAAGCAAACGAAGCGAGCATCCTGGGAG